CATGAAGATGGATGTCTTCAAAAAGGCCCAATTCCTGTTTCCTAAGAAGGACCTATTTGTGAATTTGCCGACATTGTATAGATCAAGATGCTCTATAAAAACCTTCAAACTCAGGATTATAAAAAAGGCAACGTTGGAGATAGCATTGTTAATGCATGTTTTATTTGGGGTTCATGAAAGAAATCCCACTTACCCATATCAGAGTCACCTCCACCAGAGGAGTTCAACTTACGAAAAATTTCCTGCTTCTTTGATTTAACCATGGGTGATGTGCTTTCGAGCTTGGTGAAGAATGAAGGCAGGTAGCTCATACTTCCTGGTGATCGAGAATCATTCCTGTCAGGAATACAGTTCAGTCTGTGAGAACCCTGCACTCCTAACCCTAGGAACACTCCTTTAAATAACAGGCAGAGAGTACTCAGAAAACTACTGCTTCCCCATTCTGTGTTTGCTGTCAGCCTAGGAAAGAGCATGTGACCGTAAACTCGTTCAGAAATAGTCAAATGCTTTTTGGCTCGGAAAGATAAAACAGCAAGATGATCTACAGCACAGTTTATTCATTTATTTATTGTTTTTTTGAGACTATGTAGCTGTGACTGTCCTGGAGCTCTGAAGCCCAGGCTGGCCTGAAACTCACGGAGATATGCCTGCCTCTGCCTCCCCAGTGCTGGGATTATAGGTGTGTGATACCATGCCTAGTTAATCTACAGCACACATTCGTAAGGAATAAAATGGCCAAGTATTAATTGGAAAACTTAGAAAATAGCTTATCAAGTTAAGCACAAACTATGGATATATAAGCTAGGAACTAATTTACTAGCAACATTCTTTAAGTACACTAGTTGTGACTAATAACACACCTACCTGTAAAATAACAAAGGCTTATATCTAGCCAAGCAGTTGGACTAAAGCAAAATAGCTGCAGTATCTACATAAAATTGCCTAACTATTATAATCATTTTAAGATAAACAACAGAGGAACTGAGTTTTAATACAAAGAATTTCATATTTCACTGGTAGTTTCCTATACTCAAAGTTTAATAAACTTCCCCTAACAGAGATGGTAACAGAACATATTGTTGACAACACTATCTAGTCACATATATTCATTCACCACTTAAACACAAAAACACTGTGAAGATAGACAAAAAGAAGACATGATCGCTGTGCATAAATATTCAATTTGGGGGGCTGGAGAGATGGCTCAGAGGTTAAGAGCACTGACTGCTCTTCCAGAGGTCCTGAGTTCAATTCCCAGTAACCACATGGTGGCTCACAATCATCTGTAATGAGATCTGGTACCCTCTTCTGGCCTGCAGTCATACATGCTGTATACATAATAAATAAATAAATCTTTTAAAAAAATTCAATTTGGGAAAACATGAATATATGATTTTCTTCCTCATTTCATTGAAGGTAATAACATGTATTATGTTGCCTACAAATATGTACAATTAATTCTCAGAAATTCATCAGCAGCCTAGAATTAGACCTATTTTAAAACTGGACTCTCCTCTCCTACCAGCCTTGGCCACCATCAAATCATGTATTTGGCTCTTGGCATTAAAGGGTGTTAAAATGCAAGAAAAAAGTTTGATTCTCAAGAAAAGAACTCAGACAACAGAGAATACAAGGGAATACAGCAGGAAATGAAGCTTTCTAAGTCTGGTCTTGGAACAAAAATGCCATGCTAGTGACTGAACGCTTTCCTCAATGTATCTTAATGTCTACCTACTCTGGTGAGGTGGGACAAATGCAGGGCATTTAGTCACTCAGGTCAAAGTCGGGGTTAGAATGAGGTGAGAGGAAAGTCTACAAGGCACAGTCTGTACAGTCCACAACACTTAACACAGGATGTGTACTCAAATGCTGGCTGAACTGCCGCCACCACCTGTGCCCAAAGGGTCTAGAAGGAGTAACTTGCAGGAGTAATGATGAAGTTTCTCTAACTTGTTTAATGTGATGCTTTGGCTAACATCTAGTAGTAGTAGCTCATGGGGAAAATATCCCTAGATGTTCTTCCCAGAGTCCTAGTCTGATAGAAAGACCACAAAGAGGAAAGTTTTAGGCACAGCATACTCACCTCTGCTCGGCAGGCTCCGTCCCCCTCTGTGACAAGAGCAGCATGCTGTCCTGCTTCTCGTGCACAGCAGGGACCTGGGGTGGGGAGATGGGCTCATAGGGCTCTGACGAGATGTGACTCCTCTCTGGAGATTTCCCAGGCCTGCTGGGGTAGAAAATGCAGTAGTTTAGGTTGTACTCCAGGGTCACCGATGATTCAGTGTTTGCATTTACTACATATAATTTCATAAGTGTATTTGGTATTTCCTTCCCCAATCAACCCTACCCTGTTCTTAAAATCATGACAGTTTTTGAGGTTGATCTACAAACCTTTAACCTTGCATCCATCAATACCCACATGCAAGAGAAAAAAGCCTGATTGATCTTATGGTTTGTCCTTCACAGCTGAACCTTTAGTTTACATATTTCAGCTTTACATACCATACTTATCATTTTATGTATTTCTTAAATGTCAAAATAAACACACATATCTTCTATCTCTTCACCCCAGTTACCAGCCATTTCCATATGGCTCATGATGCACATTCTATTCTAAAACTGCCAGAACAGCAAAATGTATTATGTAAACATTTTGAATGATATAATCAGGTAATTTTACTAAGAGCAATGAAAGAAACTAACCTTCCTCATTCAGACTCACAGATATAGGTTATAAGTGGAGAAGACAATTGGAATCTCTCTTCATAAATGTCGTCAATTGTTCCAAACCTGCTACATAGTATACAGTTTTCTGCCTTGTTTATCATCTTTATTTATGGTGTGTGTGTGTGTGTGTGTGTGTGTGTGTGTGTGTGTGTGTGTGTGTGTGTGTGATTATTTTTCAGGTTAATCTAAATGGGACTCCTGGGTTCTACATGTCTTCCTGCTTCAGCCTCTGAAGGACTACAGATTACAGCTAGCCTTCTGTTCTTTATAACTGAACTTTTCTTTTTTAAAAGAGAAAAATATAAGCTGGGTGTAGTGGTGCAAAAAACAACCCTCAGGAGGCGAAGGTAGGTGCGTCTCTTCTAGTTAGAGGCCAGCTTGATCTACACAGCCAGTTCCAAGATAGGGAAGGCTGCATACAAAGACCTTGTCTCAAAAGACAACCACCACCCCCCCCACACACACAAAAGGAGAGTGAGAACAAGCATGCTTTCATGCTATCTTTAAGATAATTAATCCTTTAAAATGATTATGTGCAATATTTGCTTCAAAATAGTCCAGTACGGCGTTGGCGGCAGGAGATGGGGATGGGGGAGGTGAGAATGAAATCACAACAGCTGACCATTCACTGCATTAAGGATACATGGAAAGATGTTCTGTGAGGGTTCTACTTTGTGTGAGCCAGGGTCTCTACATAGTCCTGGCTGTCCTGGGACTCACATAAATCCTTCTGCCTCTGTCTCCAAGTGCTGGGATTAAAGGCATGAGTGACCACACCCAGGGGTTTTCTACTTTTAAGGAGTGCCATTCCACCTGACTCCTGCAAGCTTCCTAAATATATTATTCTTACATCTTTATACCTTGCTCATTTTGGGGAATAATCGTGTCTCCTATAAATCTCTTTTTTGTAGCTGAGCATTGGTTCCCATGTGATTGGTTTATCCATCCTCTGTGTATATTCAAAGTATTGGCTAGAATCTTGTTTTATTGATACTCATTCTTGTTCTCAGCATTCTGAAGAATTATTTCCTTTGTGCTATTTAAATATAACATCAATTGATGTTTAGTGTACTGCTTTGAATTAAAACCTTGCTTCCCTTTTTGAAAAGCTTTAGACAGAATGTTGGTAACAAGCACCACTAGTCATCAACCCTGAAGCCTTGCTCTCATGAGGCAAGTGCATCCCTACTGCACTGTACTCACAGCCTGGATTTTGTTGTTGTTACTGTTACTGAACTTTTTGAGACAGGGTCTCATTATGTAGCCAAAACTATCCCTAAACTTCATATCTTCTTGTCCCTGCCTTCTGAGTAGCTGGAAATATAGCAATGTACCACCTGTCCAGCCTGGGAAAGAATTCTGAAAGAATAATCAAGCCTCTGCAAATACTACCCAACTACTTTTAAATATACATTAATATATATACTGTACTAAGTGCCCAGGCAGTGAACATCCTGAAAGTAATATACAGAGAAAAAATACCCACTTCCACTTTCCAGAGAATAAGGGCAAATGATACTTGATTTGAGAAATGAATCTCCTAACTTGTAGACATATTAAAATTACCTTACTGGGACCAAATTTACATATGTTTGGTAAAAACAAAACAAAATTCTACCTTCCCCGGGATTTATCCACAAGATGTTCTGGAGAGACTCTAGAACCTGGTCTTGGATGCAGGACAGTCTGAGACTGGGACTCTGGGCTGTAGCGACTCGATGTTTTAGCTCTTACAGGTGTGGAGGCCAGAGCAGACGGTGAAGTTTGGAATGTTGAAGTAGGAGGCTGCGAGGAAACTTGATTTCTAGCAAAATCTTGTGTGATAATTTGCTGTGGATGAGAAGAGGAGTAAGTGGTGAAGGTTGTTAGATACCTACCCAAGAGTGGTGTGAACTGAACTTTTTGTTTTGTCTTCTTTTTTTTTTTTTTTTTTTTTTGAGACAGTTTCATTCTGAGCACAAAAGGGCCTTGAGTCAGACTCGTGGTGCCCCATGCTAATTCACCTGAATATCTTTGCTATGATTTTATTAAAAAAAAAAAAAACAAACAAACCAAAAAACCTGCTTTCTGCATGATTAAAAAAATAATACTAGAAGTAGGAAAAGGCTTACACAGATGTGATCAGCAAGTGTGATCAGCCGGTGGGTCCTGGGCACCTGCCCCATTCCTTCGGCCTGAGAGGATGAGGGCAGTGGCGGCTGCTGCTGTGGAGATGGGGACTCCTGCTGTGAGCGATAGTGATGCAGAGGTCCTTCATACTGCCGAGTGGGCTCGTCTGACAGAGAGCAGGTAGATACATTACACCACGAATGCCTCTGCCCCGACTCAGTATAAAGTATTAATAACTCAGAAGAACATAAGAAAAGGATGTGATATGCACCTCTACACCTAACTTTTGCTTTTATATCTTAAAGCAAAAAATATCCATGATGTACAGTAAAATATGAGTGTAGAGGTGGGCAAAGTACCAGTGGTGGTGGTGGTGGTGGTGGTGGTGGTGGTAGTGGTGGTGGTGGTGGTGGTGGTGGTGGTGGTGGCGGCGGCAGCAGCAATTTGATCCCAGCAATTGGGAGGCAGAGCCAGGCAGATCTGTGAGTTCGAGGCCAGCCTGATCTACAAAGTGAGTTCCTGAACAGCCAGGGCTGTTACACAGAGTAACCCTGTCTTGAAATACCCCCGCTCCCAAAAAAGTAGACAAAACCATCAACCATTTTTCTGTGTGTGTGTCTGTGCACACGCACTCATTAGAGTAATTGTGTGCATGCTTGTGTAAATGTGCAGGCCAGAGGGTAATGTCAAGTGTCTTTCCTCTATTGCCCTCTACCTTGATTTTTAGTTTCTGAGACAAGGCTGTCAGTGAACCTGAAGCGCATGGGATCAGCAAGATGGCTTAGCCAGTGAGCTTCAGGACCCATCATTTGTGCCCCCTGCACCTCTTCCTCCAGGCTGGGGTTGCAGGACTCACTGCTAGGCCCAGTTTTTTCATGAGGTTCTTCTCGGTATCCAAACTCAGGTCCTCAAGCTTGTGCAGCAGTTACTTTACCTACAGACACCTCCTCAGCCCCAGTGCATCTGTTTCCACTCAACTGTACACAAGAGTACCCAATAATAGTATAAAAAGGAAAGTTGTTAGTACAGCTCTAAAGGTTTCTAAAGCAGACTAACCAGCAACAAGTGTTCTTACCACGGCCTAGACAGTCATTAGAAGCAAATGTTAATGCAAATACGAGACACGGAAATGGCAAAACAGACATACTTTCTGCTTGTTTAGCCATCTCTGGCTGATAGGCCTGTGGCTTGTCCTGGGTAGGTGCAGGAGAGCTGGCAGGACTTATCACCTCAATAGCATCACTAGGTGCTTCATACCTGTGAGAAGACACTTTAAGAAAAGAACCTCATTTTAAAATAAATCCATGGAAAGGTTCAAAAGTCCACGTTCTTCAAAGCTATTTGCAAATTTTAGTTGTTTTATTCTGCTAAAAAATGTCCAGTAGCATTCTATACTAGGAATAAAACTTAATCAAACCCAACAGACTATTAAAGGTGCCTCTGTGCTCCTAATCTCAATAGGTTGTAGGTTCTTTAAGCATGAGATGAAGCAGAATTAAGATTTGTCCCCTGGAACCTTGAAAAGAAACCACAGGCTAACATTCATCAAAGGAGATTAATGAGTAAGTGAGGGGTAGATCTCAACCATTAATTGATCCCAATAATTCCATTTTGGTGGGACAATCTGATCTTAACAAACAGGCCATAAAGCTGCTTCACTGCCCCAAGACTAAGTTACTGCTTAGAAAATGCTATGATGAGTTTCTCAGATAACTCAAGCATTACACTGGGGAAGTGAACAGGAGTGGTAGGAAATCTGTGAAGGAAATTACTTCAAAGAGAGGGAACGTATCAACCAATTCTGGAGGATGCCCACACAGACCCCTCTAAGATACATACAGCTCTCAAGAAAATTGATGGGTTCTGCAGATGTAGATCATGGGTAGCATTCTAGAAACCTGCCATGCTTTAGAGTTGGGATTTGGGGAGAGTCAGGTAGAACTTGGTAAGAAACTTCTGTTAGAGGCCATCTCCAGTCTGTACCAGACCCTGAGTCAGGGTTACGACCTTGGCTGAACACAGGCATAAGTGAACTACTTGGCCACTGCATAATGCTCTTACTATTCAAATGGACATCTCTACATACCTCCCACCTGTCATGGAAATCAATGCTTAGGAGCTAAAATAAACCACTATGTTGTAAGTAACTTTCTGACTTGAAAGTTTTGTATTTATTGTTACTCATCAATGCTTATGAACCAACATCTTTTTTTTTTTTTTTTTTTTTTTTTGGTTTTTCGAGACAGGGTTTCTCTGTGTAGCTTTGTGCCTTTCCTGGAACTCGCTCTGTAGCCCAGTCTGGCCTCGAACTCACAAAGATCCGCCTGCCTCTGCCTCCCGAATGAACCAACATCTTAAACGACAAGAACTGACAGTATTCTGCAAACTATATTCATGTTGCTCTTGAAGATTAGGGTGCAAGGTGAAGGCTAAGGGGGGGGCTCTCAGAGTCACACTGAAAAGGACACTGAGTAGTTGTTAGGAGCCTATGTATCATGCTGGATATTGCCAGTGATAGAAAAGATAACTCCACTCAAAAGTAGGAACATGAGGATCTAAGAGTGGGCTTTCTATTTTCAGACTGCTGAGAAACGAAATCCCAAAGCAGAGTTTGGTATGTGCACAGACTGCAACAGACTTAATCCCTGACTCCCCACCAAGATGCCCTGCATTCCTGCTCTCCTTGAGCTAGCAGACTTTGAATGTTGAAAATCTATGTTGTAAACTTCCTTAACTCCAGGTTAAAGGGTGTATTTCTTCTACAGTTTATTCCCAATGCCAATTCTCTGTGAAAATTTTGCCAACAACTTGTAATTACCTAAGTGAATACTTGGTGATAAAAACCGAACTCTATTCCAGTACTACTGAATTTCCTTAATGGAGATACTAAAAAAATGACTACATGATTAAACTGCTTCCAGTCATCACAACTGCTAATTTAAGCATGCTTGTCTTTCTCTAAAATTCCATATAGAATATATTTAGGTCATAGCTAAGAAACAAATTAAATTATATTTATTCATTTATATATTTACTTCTGTGTATGGAAAGCCATTATCCCTGCACACATGGGAAGGTGGATTGATGGTATGGTTAGTTCTCTCCTTCTACTATGGGGTTCAGAGCATCAGATTTAGTGGTAAGTACCTTTACCTGCTGAGCCATCTCATCACCCCTAAGAAAGTTTAAAAAGCATTTTTGTGTATTATTTTGATACTTACTTGCAGAACAAACATCACAGTAACTAGCCAGACCGAATCAAAATCCAATTCTCAAGAAAGACACAAAGTGAGTACCAGTCACTAATAGGCTCACTTCAAAAACAAAAACAAAAACAAAACCACTGCTTTAAAAAAAGGACACAGGAGACTTTGGGAGATTAGTGAATTTAGCAAACAATTTCTCAGAGAATACACTATGGGAGCACAGATCTTGAAGATATTCCCATTTCAGATGCCTAAATACCGTCAGAAGCTCTATTTTCCATCTAGCCACTTCTAATTCTATGGGTTTTTTCCCTAGGTAATATATTGATGGGCTTATACTTATAGGGCATGGGAATATGTAAGTCATAAGAATATTAGAAGATACATTTTTGCACCCACAATATTTTCTCTCCTATTACTGTCAGGCATTAGGATTGTTTCATACCAGGCCGTGCTTTACCTAAAGAATAAAGTCACTCTTTACTCAGATACCACATTGTGAAACTCAGATTGAGATACATACAGCTACTAGAAGAGTCTGAACTTTGAGAGCCACGGTCCCTCGCATCCTTGTCCGAGGCAATTTGCCGGGTGATGATCACGTCTATGAAGTTAGCTGCAGTAATGGTAGTCTTCCCTCGGGTCCTTAGCTCTTCCTCATATCTGGATTTTGGAGGAGGCCCCTTATCTTTCCCAGCCTCAGAATACACTACTGAGGCATGAGGCTGGGGCTTGCCACTCGGAAGGGCTGAAGAAGTGCACACACACTGAACAGATCTCTTCTCCACCTCCAGGTTTTTCTGCTCTAGCTGCTGCTGTTCACTAACTGCTGCTGACCTGCTTCTCAAATTTTCTTCTAACCTGGCAGCTTCATGCTTACTCTCTTTTGTTTTGGAAACATCCATCTGGGGTGCAGAAGCTGCAGCGTCCACAAGAGCAGCCAGGGCATCCGCAGCAGTGTTGTAGCGGGAGGCTGGCAGGCCTTGGCTTATGGAAGGGCCCCCAGCAGGCAGTGGCCTGTAAACAAAGAAAATAAAGGTACTTAAGGGAAGAGTATTTGTTGGGGGTGGGGTAGGGCTTGTTGGGAAATGAAAGAACAAATTACATTTAAAAAAAAAAGCAAATAGAAAAGCTTGACTATTTCAGTCAGTAGTTTAAAAACCAATACAGTTCAGCAGGTAAAGGTGCTTGTTGCAAAGGCTCAGAACCTGAGTTCAATCCCCAGGACCACATGGTAGAAAGATAAAATAGAATTCCCACAAAATGTTCATGTGACCTGCGTGTGCACATACAGTTATCAAAAAACGTAAATTAAAATTAACACAGGCAAAATATGTACTTATTTTGGTCAAAATGTTTATGAGAGTACAAAAGACTGACATGATTCGTAGCTGAGCAGTTGGATCCAAAGGTGTGATTACACTGGTTCCATTGGTTCCCTGGAAAACACTGGGTCTCTGTTGCAACATGGTCTCCTGAGTTCTTACTGAAGGGGAAGGGGAGCGAGCATATCCGTGGCTGCCAGGTCGGCCTGGCTGTTCTGAGCCTGAAGAGGTAAAAGAAAGAGGAACACTGATAATCCAAAAGCAGCAGCTACAAAACAAGGCAGCAAAGCTGTAGAATTTTGAATTCCTAGTATTACTAAATACAAAACGAGAATAAGAAACTTGATACTGTACTTTTTAGAAATGATTTGTAAGTTTCTCAATGAAGATATAATAAAACCCAACAAAAATTAAACACATCTCAGCTGTCATTTCCTGTCATTTCCACTTTTGTTAGGCATTTCTATCTCGATTCCAGAAAGGAAAGAAGAGCCAATAACAAAGTGCTACGTATCTCAGACGCTAATCCTGCAGACTGCTGCAGATTCTGCTACGGTTAGTACGCTCTCCCAGATCAAACAGCTTTCCATCCATCACAAAAAGACACATACAGCAGCTGCATTACAGTGTGGGGTTCCTGCACTCAACCCTGGTTCTTCCTGTTTTACCTCTTTGTGTGTACAGACAGGCGTGCATGGGTGTGCATGGCCAGAGATCAATCCCTGTCATCCCAGGTACTTTCCACCTTGTTTTTTAAGAGAGTCTCTCACTAGCTTGAAATCCAAAGACTGGGCAGGCAAGCTGACGAGTGAACAGCAGGGATCCAACTGTGGAAGCCTCTCCACATTGCTATTACAAGTCCATGGCACCACACCTAGTGTTTGTTCCATGGTTTGGGAACCAAACTCAGGCTGCCACACTTGTGTGGCGAGCACTTTACCAACTGAGCCATC